CACCTCTCCTACCTTCCCCACCCACCTCTCCTACCTTCCCCACCCACCTCTCCTACTTTTCCCATCCACCTCTCCTACCTTCTCCACCCACCTCTCCTACCTTCCCCACCATGATGATTAATCATCATCTCGCGTTATTGTTAGAATGAGTAGGTGACGCGTGTAGATGTATGGGTGTCAGTGCTGGATGCGCGACGTTTTAATGAGAGTGGATGGTAATTACGGCTTTGTCCCTAATTTGCAGACGAGTGATGTGCGATCACCGTGGTTACCTGCCCGCGCTCACCTTCACGTCAGACATGAAGATACGCCCGCGTGGGCTCTGGTAAGGATCGTGTTCGGTGTGGAGGGAGGGGCTGGGGGAGGAGCGAGGGAGGGGCAAGGAAAGAGCGAAGTTGAAGAACGGAGAAACGGGGGGAGAAGCAAGGAATGGGCAAGGAACGACGGAGTGGGGGTACGGAGAGAAAGGGAAGAAGCTGAGGAGCAGTGGGAAGCAGCTGTGGAGCAGAGGAAGAAGATCGCGTATATGTGGAGAAAGGGGGAGGAGGAGGAGGAGGAGGAGGAGGAGGAGGATGGAAGTAGGAGAGGCGTGTAGTGGATGAGAAGTTGAGGAGGAATGAAGCTGGAGCGAGGAAGGGGCGAAATATTTATAGGAGCTGATGGGAAGCAGAGTAGAGGCGTGGATGAGGAGTGGGGAGGTATTGGACCTGGGACGGGGGGAGGGTGTGGATATGCGAGGAGCAGGGGAGGTGCGCAGTGGAGGTGGCAGCAGGTAACAAGGGAGCCGTTTAGTTATTGCATACACAGTTTGGCGACTTAGCATTATTGCGCTCTTATCGAATATGTGATTCGTGGTGGATACATCTGCCCGACCCCTCGTTTGTTCTACGCCGCCAACGGTGCTTCTATTGATATAAAATATAGAAAGAATAGATGAAGTACCTTTGATTAAGAATCGATGCGTTCAGCTGTTCAGAATCTAGCACCAGTTATTGTATCCCCCGCGACGAAGTCGGCGGGGATACTATGGTTTCATGTCTGTCCAGCCGCTGCCGCTCGGTCCGCCGCAGACACTTTCCCTTCCGCTCTATAACTCGACCCCTAATTGACCTAGCGTGACCAAACTTGGTATACTTACACATCTTGGGGAGAAGGTGCGCAGCGTACCAAAACCAGGCCACTGCGACCTTTATTTGACCTTTACATTGACTTTGATCATATTTTTTTTCTGCTCTATAACTCGGCCCCTAATTGACCTAGCGCTACCAAACTTGGTATATACTTACACATCTTGGAGAGAAGGTGCGCAGCGTACCAAAACTAGGTCACTATGACTTTTATTTGACATTTACCTTGACCTTTATCATATTTCTCTTCCGCTCTATAACTCGGCCCGTAATTGACCTAGCGCTACCAAACTTGGTATATACTTACACATCTTGGGGAGAAGGTGCGCAGTGTACCAAAACCAGGTCACTATGACCTTCATTTGACATTTACCTTGACCTTGATCATATTTCCCTTCCGTTCTATAACTCGGTCCCTAATTGACCTATCGCTACCAAACTTGGTATACTTATCACTGGGTTCGAGTCCTGTAGATCATGACAAGTATAAATGGGTTCAAGTATTTGCGACTAACACGTGCGATAGTCTTGACACGTGTTCAAGTCACCTGGGAACAATACTGATTCCGGTTATAAGTCGGGTTGTGTATGTCTGTATGTGTGCGAGTGCTAGCTAACCAGCATGCGGGCGAGTGAGCCACGTCATTGCCGCAGAGGTTGATGACATGATATATACACGAGTAATGCCAGCAGCGCGTGATTTGCCGCCCCTGCGGAAGTACGAAGGCATGGCAGGTAGTTTGCGAGGCAGCGCAGCATTGCTACCTGATTAGCGGAGGTATATATATATATATGGGCAGGCTCCAGCAGGGTGGCGCATCCCACTTAGACTCTCTTGCTATGCGAATAACATATGCTGCTGCCATGTCGGCAGATGTAGGTTAGATGATGTACAGATAGATAGATGCACAGCCTACACTCATGTACACGCACTGCAATGATGATGCGGTCAAGTGTGCGGATGTAGGTTAAAAGATGCTTATAGATAGTTGGAGATAAACATATGCATTTCACTGTGTTCCAAATGAGAAGAAACTGTACTACTTACGACTATTACTATCACTACTGCTGTCTTTGCGAGCATCGGGAGTTTCTTGTCTGTCTTCTCGCCTCCTGCCTGCGCGCCGTCGCGGAATCGTGAATTCTGACAACGCGAGGTTTGGGGTAGCGTGGACGTTGACGGGAGAACGTGTGAGGGTGCCGCGTAAGAGAGTGCGACGCTGCAAATGCGTCACAAAGGTCGATGTTACGTATATGCGCGACCCTGGCGATATCTCAGCGCGACAGTAATTGTTTCCTGTTGTTGATCGGAGACAGAGCGATTAATCAGCATCGGGACACGGATCTCCTCATCTCTATAGCTGTCTGCGCGACGCGCACACCCGCCCGTACACACACCCACGCACGCGCGCGCACACACACACACACACACACACACACACACACACACACACACACACACACACAC